AAGTACTGCCGCTGTAGTTTACACAGAGCACGTGCGATCGCAAATCTCGAAAGTGAAAGTAAAACGCGATTGTGCATTCGAAAGCAGTTTCAATGTCCCGCATATTAATAGCGGCTCCCTGATGTCCGCATTTTATATAGAGTATAATTACCCAACGATATAACTGCGAGAGAAAGTATTGAAATATATATTTTCCCTGTGTTTCCTTCCTGCTGTGTGAGCTACGGAAATGAGCCGCACTGTGAAACAGCCAATCAGAGCAGAACTCAACATTGTTATTCATGACCCTTCCAGATAAGGTAAAAACAGACCATTTCATTCTAGGGACAAATCCTAGGGCTGTAAATGGACATGTAAAACTGTTTCTGGAGATTGTTTGCCCTTACCTAAGCCACATACCTTCTATGTAGATATCAGAGAACAATTTAAAATATTGTATCAATGCATTCTATGGCACCTTTAAAGACCCTGACTTGATGGTTTTTGTTGACATAGATTATATCCTATTAAAACAGAATATTGTTATGGGGCTATACAAAGTTGTGGGACACTGTTGTGGGACATATTTTATAGCCAGTAGTCTTTAGTTTTTTTAATAGCCATGAACCACAATTTGCTGCTTGCTATTGCTAATTTGTTATATCAGAGGGGAGGTCATTCTTATTCATAAAGCATTTTATTGGGGATAAAATGGATCAGTTCTCGAGTGCATGATGAGGGCTAAATACTTTTGGCCTTTGTTCCCTGAAGAGAGGTAGAGAACATTATAAATGCATAAATATAATAACTTTGTCAGTTTTTTGGAATAAAAACTTCAGTGTTAACTCTTGTGGCTTTTCTTGGGCTATCCTGTCACAGGAAGAATTTTTTTTTTTTACTAATATTAGCACATTAATCTGTTTGCTGCCTTTCTTTAAACACATTATCGTATCTGCAAAATCCAATATCGATCGACCTCTAATTCGTATATATGGATATACCTGTATTAGTACATAAACCATTTTCAATACATACGGTATGTATCTCTTGAATAAAACACATCTTGAGTATTTTAAACTTGCAGTTACCCTATTTTGCAGTTGAATGTGTTTTTAATTAAGTAAAAGAATGTCTGTATGGACATTAAATATCAATTACATTTGTGCAGGTATTAAAAAAAGTCTTACATTTGATTTCACAGACACCTGATGTAAGCTGCATTTCATTGGGGCTGTATTTAGTCCATTTTACATTGGCATGTTAGACCACATACAGTATATTACCACCACACACGTGTTGTCTCTAAGGAGTAGCCGATTTGTTCTTGTCATCACATACAATGTCACATACTCACACTTTGTAAACATGGTTTTAGCTTCTATTATCCCAGGACACACAGACACATGCACACAGGGGACTGAGTGTTAGGACGGAATGCCCAGATACTTTTACATTGAGTCATGAGACCCCTCAGATCAAAGTTTGAATTTTCCTGTGGTCTAGAGCAGCTGAAACCTGATCCCCTTCTCACAGCATCACAAGTGGACTCTGTCCATCACTTCTGCTGATGAGAATACTGATAAAACGAGTGGCAATCCATTCCCTCAGTTTTCAGAATGTTTTTGCATTTTTTTCCTTTCGGTAGAAAATAGTAAAAAAAAAAATTTCTTCAAATTTTCATTAATTTAGTTGGAAAATACATAACGAAAAAGTTTGAATATGTATTTAAAAGACATTTCTTTTGTGGTTTTATTGCATACTAGTATACAGTGCCTTCATTTAATAGCCACTGAATAAGAATGATTGTTTGTCAACACTTTGGCACAGCAATCTGAATTTTGACTAAACTTGTATAAGCATGTTCTCTGCTATGAAATGGCAGATATTAGAGAGCGGTTTGTTTGATAGTATTTATTTATTTAATTCCTGATTTATTACACAGTTTAATTAATTGGTTGGTCTCGGGATGATATAGTGCGTGCTGAAGATCACTTGAGTGATGGATTCTAGATTCTTATAGCTTATTCACAGCAGATGGTGTGATGGCTCTGTGAGGTCCGGGATGTCACACCTTACTACAGAACAGTAAGGGCAGAGCGGGTATAATACCTGTAATCCCTGTGGTGAGAGGTTGTTGTGTAAGGGTCAGAGGTCACTGCAATGTTAACCTTGTAATAGCCACACCGTAAGAGGATTAACTGCTCACACAAATTCACCTTCTGTTCTTCTGTGTCTGCCTCTCAGTCTTTATAGAGTTAAAACGGGTTATGCATTCTTTATATAATGCTGGACTTACAGCCAGCAACCTACAGATGGATTCTTACAGCCAATTTGTAAATCCATGTAAAGCATTGTTTGGTAACAAAAAAAGACGGCTTCCGTCTGAACTTAAACTAGAAGTGTAATAGTGTTAAGTCCATGTAGGCAATGTGTTGAAATGTGAAGCATTGTGCTTGCGTGCTAGTTCAAAGCCTGTCCTTACACATGGCATTCTTCCTCATGCCTTATTTAACTAGCAGCTATTAATATCAGCTGTCTTACACATTGCCTTCATACGCGCTTACATGCTGTGGACTCAATACTCAAGTTCAGTTCACGATATGCAGCATCTGTTTAAAATTTAAGCATATATAAGCAACATAAATTTAACAAGTGACACTTTTTCCACAGATAAATGAATATTTACATAAATGCAATGTAGAGGCATGCATACAACTGCGCCACTGTTTACTGGGAAGCAAACTGGAGCATTTATTTTCATGCATGAATGTTTGTGTTAAATTCCGCTCTATTTCATGCAGGAGAGAAGTGGATCCACTGTTCCCTCCATCCTAAACAGAATGCAGACCAAACAGACCCCACCCACCTACAACAAAACCAATAAGTTCACCTCTGGCTTTCAGAGCATCGTTGATGCCTACGGCATCAGCAACTACCGGGAAATCAACCCAGGTAACCCTGACCTATAATAGTTTTGTCCCAAACTCCTCTGCAGTGATTAAAATGAGCTACAAATCAACAGATCCTGTTGTGCTACCTTTTTATTTATTTATTTACTTTTTTGTGGGTGTCTCATCATATTGTGTGTATTATGTTTGTGCTCATATGTTCAGCTCCATACACCATCATCACCTTCCCCTTCCTGTTTGCGGTCATGTTTGGCGATCTGGGTCATGGTATACTCATGACCTGTGCTGCACTTTACTTGGTACTGCGAGAGAGCCGATTAATTGCCCAGAAAAACGACAATGAGGTATCCATTCTCCCATCCATTTATTCAACCATCTCATAATTATTGTTTTATAATTTTGTTAAAATCAAATATTCATGTCATATAGCTTTATTTATGTATAGATCCTGAATACAGAAAATATTGATCCTGATGGTTTTTAACTAGTGTTATTTAGCATGAAAATTTAAGTTTTGAAGTGAAGAATAAAACAGACACCTTTTGTTATGGGTTATTTTTAATATAAAGGCAAAGCTAAATGTGACAATTGTTATTATGCATTTGGGTTATGATAGTTTTAAGATTAGTTTAAAACTTATAAGATTGATAATTTGCTGTTTATAAAACAACATGGTCTGAAAATGTAGTTTAGGCATAAATTATAGCTTTTACTCAGGAAAACAAAAAAGTAAGCAACTGTGTTTATATTGGCCATTCTGGCCTCGATAGTATTTGGTAAAGAGATGCAATTTAACAAACATTATATTAAATGTACTTTCTTTTTAATAATTCTACATTTATTTGATAATTTGGGCAACTACAAATCACGGTGTTCTCTCTTTCTCTAGATGTTTAACATGGTTTTTGCGGGCCGTTACATTATTCTCCTGATGGGAATATTTTCAGTGTATACTGGGATTATCTACAACGACTGTTTCTCCAAATCTCTCAATGTCTTTGGCTCGGGCTGGAGTGTCAGGCCCATGTTTGGAGAGAGAGGAGGCAACTGGACGTAAGTTGTTCATTCCAAACCATTGATTTTACATTGATCTTGTTCTAAAGGTTCATCGTTGTTTTTTATGCCCCTCAGAAAATGTTGCTCTCATAATCAGCCACTTGTTTAAATTGATCATTCAGATCACGTCTTCATGTGTGGCCGTTAAGTCATTATTATTTTTAACACTGATTTTCCATTAACTCATTCAGGCCTACGACACTGAAGGATAACCACATATTACAGCTCGACCCTGCTGTGCCAAAAGTGTTTAGTGGACCCTATCCAATTGGCATTGACCCAGTAAGCACCTAGTAAAAACATCTAAACAGTTCTGTGGCAAAGATAGTCTAACTTCAGCCCTTTAAGAGTTGTTTTCCTTTCTCCTCTTACAGATCTGGAACATTGCCACCAATAAGCTGACCTTTCTGAACTCCTTCAAGATGAAGATGTCGATAGTTCTAGGAGTCATCCACATGACGTTTGGAGTTACTCTCAGTCTTTTCAATCACCTGTACGCACTTGTCTGTTGTTACTCTAAATAGATCTGTATCAGCATTTAATGCTAATTTAAGTCTGTTTGTCTACGTGTGAAGGTACTTCAAAAAACCTCTGAACATCTACCTGGGTTTTATTCCTGAGATCATCTTCATGGTCAGTCTATTTGGCTACCTGGTGCTGCTCATTTTTTACAAGTGGTTGGCATATGATGCCAAGAGCTCAAAAGAAGCCCCCAGTCTTCTAATAACCTTCATCAACATGTGCCTCTTCAGTTACAACGATCCCACCAACAAGCCATTTTACACGGGACAGGTACGCACACCAATATCGTGTGAATTAAATCATCAGTATATGTGGCAAATGAGACAACTTGACATTTAAAACTAATGCTTCTTTCTTTTTCTCTGTCTCTGTAGGTTGTAATTCAGTGTCTGCTAGTTATTACAGCTCTCGCCTGTGTACCATGTATGCTTATAGTAAAGACGCTAGTAATGCGCAGGCAATATCTCTGGAGAAGACATCTGGTAAGGACCTGTTTGACACGCCACATTAGAGATTCCTACATGTCCAGTTTTTAAGCTTTTTTATTTTTAGACAGAGTTTTTTTGTTTTTATCTTGTAATTTCGATCATTGCTACATCAGTAGTGAAATTCTTCAGAATATTCATTAATGTCCACATGGATGTCTCTTAAGTATAATTATTAGGCCTGGAAAGGTCATGGAAATTAATATAATCTTTGAAAGGTCATGTTCATTTTTATAGTCAATATACACTACTAGTTTGGGGTCAGTAGGATATTTAAATATTTTTGAAATTAGTCATGTGTATATGTATATTTGTGTGTGTGTATATATATATATATATATATATATATATATATATACAGGTGCATCTCAAAAAATTTGAATATCATGAAAAAGGTCAATATTCTTTGTCACTCATTTCAGAAAGTGAAACCCATATATTATATAGATTCATTACACATAGAGTGTTATATTATTCAAGCCTTTATTTCTTGAAAATTTGATTATGGCTTACAGATAATGAAAACCCAAAATTCAGTGTCTCAGAAAATTAGAATATTACATAAGATCAAT